CAACGTTTTTGAAGTCGGTTTTTTTAAATTTTTAATTTCTAATACTTGTACAAATAAAAAACTCATTCTTTTTTGCATGTAAGTATCCTAAACTAATATACTTAAATGTATCGAAAAATCAAATAAAGAAAACCTTTTAATAGTGATGCGCTAATTTTTGTGCAGAGTGTATTTTTTAGTTTAAGGTATCCAAAAATATTGTTGTGCCTTTATTATAAAAAATAGCATATTGTGTTAAAGCTAATGCGTCTCTGGCAAATTAAACTGGCCTATTTTAAAGAGACTTATTTATAATTCATCATATTAAAAACGTATTAAATTAAACCAAGTACATTATTTAAAAAAAAAACTATTTCCAGAGGCATTACAAAGATATGGGAACATCTTTTTTTTATTTTTAACTTGAACTGGAACACAAAAATGGAGGGTCTTTGGAAATATGTTAATTAAGTAAACCCTACTTATTTTTCAGTATATTTTGAAACACCTTGCACATCTGTAAATTATTATGATACTGATTAATTTATTAAGCATTTTATATTAGATTTTTGAGTCATTATTTACGGTTTATTTTAAAATCTCTGTGATTCATACATAAAAAATATGGTAGAAACAAAAAACTTTAATAACTATTTAATTATTTATCATGATATTATTTCCTATAATAATATCTTAAACAGAAAATAAAACAATACATTTGTTACGTTAATGATCAGTATTTAACGTATTAGTTGTACTTGTATTATGCCTATCCATTTTCAATATTTGAAGTAAATTTTGTTTTGCTTACGTTTGTTTTAATGATAATTAATTTATATCAAAACTTTGGGAATGGCGAAAAAATGGATTGGACAATAGTTTTTTTTTAATAAAAACATGGTACCTACATTTAAAAATATAATTATGCTTCTATTTAATAACCAAAGTTGACCTTGTAATAATTTTGAAGATCACTAACAAGAGAAAATTAAAGTACGGTATTTTTTATACTTTACGTCAAGTTATGTTATGTTGATAATGGGGTGTTAATACACTGCGACCTAAAAGATCTATTGTGCCCCCTTCTGTCGACACTGCCCTAAGGAAATGTCTCAATGCCTATAGCGACCCTTCCAATCCTATTTTCTCAAGGAAGTGTAGGATTTGAAGTGGCTTCAAGTTAGGTAAGTCTCCCTCTTCTATTTGATATCCTCCTAGATATAGTGCCCTTGGATTCTGGAGTGCTACACATTCAGTTAGGATGTGAATGGAGGTTTCGTCCTCCTCCTCACAGAATCTACACTCACTATCCTCTACTACTCTCAGTTTATTTAGGTATCCTTTTAGTCGGCAGTGCCCGGTAAGGATCCCTGTTACAATACGTAGCCTGTTCTTGCTCAGGCAGATGCAGGCTTCCGATCTTTTCTGACTATATTCACCCAGAAGTATCTTGGTCTATCTCAGCCCCAAGATATTGTTCCAATTATTGGTTCTTCTACTGCCCAATTCTTTTTTAATCTCTCCTAATATTATATTACTGCTGATACCGCAGAACGGCTCAGGTCCTACAAAGGGTGTTTGAGCCCCTTTCCTTGCAAGACTATCTGCAATCTCGTTACCCTGTCCCCTGTTATGTCCCGGGACTCAAGTGAGAGTAACTCTATTTTTCTCGCCTAGCTCATTCAATTGTTCTAGGCATCTCAAGACCATTTTTGAGCTGATTACGTAAGAACTCAGCGTTTTGATGGCTGCTTGACTATCGGACATGATGCTAATCTTCTTGTCTATGATAGTTTCTCTCGATGTTAAACTGGATACACGTCTCGATGGCGTGAATTTCCGCCTGGAAGATGCTTGGGTATTTTCCCAAGCTTTCGGAGTGCTTGGTTCTTGGCCCATACACTCCTATTCCAGTTCCTTCTATGGTTTTCGGGTCGATGGTGTAGCGGTCTAACGCGCTTATATTCATTTATAGGCAAGTTTATGAGTCCGAGACTGCTGTGCTTCGAATCCCAGACCAGACCATGTGGATTTTTAATTAAATTGCATGGTTCGGTTTAGGATTTGATGTATGCCGTATTAATAGAAATTTAATTTCTATTGATATGACATGCAGATTATAAAATCGCCATACATTATCGTCTCGATGATGGTGGGTGAGGTTTTCCGGGTTTTCCTCACCTGTAAGTCAAATGGCACCATCAATCATCCTTAAGTCGCCCTGGAGCGCCACGGCAAATAATAATAATAGCCGTCCTTTCCCCTACACAAGTCGTTCAGTCGACTTCAGGGGTTGAAATTCACTCGTAAGGGGGTGAATTAGGGAGAGTATTATTATTATTATTATTATTATATTTTGGAACCGTCCGTATACCACTGAATAGCATGTCTTTCGGTTGCAAGTGCGATGGATTCTTGGCTTTATTCTTTCTTGCAGCCCAGCTCTGTGGTTTTGAAGTTTTTCACAAAACTGTACTTCTTTAGCATTTCATCCTGGGGCATGTCCCAGGTATCTTCAGTCCTGAAGCAAGTAGACTTTCGTCTGATTACTCCGTTCCTGATCATTCTATATCGTCTTTTTTGCCACATTCTCTATCAAGGGTGAGGTTTAAGATCACCTCCATTGCGACCGTAGGGCAGGTTCTCATTGCACCAGTAATGCAAACACAGGCTAGTCTTTATACTTTTGAGATATTAGTTTTAGTAGTAGCTAAACTAGTTCTGTTACTCCAGGCTATAGCCCCGTAAGTGATGATTGGTCTCACTATTGCAGTATAAATTCATCGCAGTATGTTTGGGTTACATCCCCATCGTTTACCCGCAATATTTCTGCATACCATTAGGGCTTTTGTGGCCTTATTTACTACTTCTCATGTGTGTTCCAGGTAAGTAAGTCCCACTTCACGGCACCATCTTTTGGTATGTTCTAGTCCTCGTTGAACTATATCACACAGGATATTTCTAAACTTGCCTCTAGCAAATATGACTATATCGTCGGCATAACCTCTACAGGGTATGCCGAGGTCAGTCAATCTGCATAGAAGTTCGTCTACCGTTAGGCTCCACATTAGTGGGGATAGAACTCCTCCTTGTGGACATCCTCTGGTTGTGCAGATGGAGATGGTGTCCTGCTCTATCTGTGTCTTTGCAGTTCTCATAGATAACAGCTAAGTCGTCCATTTGGATGTGATGTTATCTACTCCTCTGTATGCAAGTGCTCTTTTGACTGATTCGTGTGGCGTGTTGTCAAACGCTCCTTCTATGTCTAGGAAGGCACACACGACCGTTTCTTTGTTTATCAGTGCATCCTGGATTACATCAGTCAACTGTGCCAGGGCAGTTTTTAAGTAGATGATGACTATTATGTAGGTAAATATCTAGAAATACCGCTGGAAAAATAGTACAAAAATAATAGACATATAGTACTCAAATATTACTTACATTATTACAGAAATAGATAAAAATTAGGTTGATATGCTAAAAAGAGGTCGTAGCCATTAAAATTAAGTTGACAACCTAAAAAAAATGATGTTGCTCAATTTTTCTCCAGGTCACCAGTCATTAACGCTTGCCAAGTAGGAATACTACGGAATCCTACACAGTACCAGATAGTACACAAATAGTTCATATGGCACACAAAGAGTTCACGAAGTACAGAAATAGTACACAAAATATACAAATAGTACAGATTGCTTGTACATCATAATACAGCAGCGCTTTACCCTTCTGTAAATAATACCAATTAGTGATTCTGAATCCAGTAATAAGATAATATGCTGTTTTCCTTCCAATTTGGGTTTAGAGAATAAATTTCCGCTCTGGTACCAACTATACTGCTGGTTTCCGATATGCAAACAACAAAATTGAACATTAAAGAATCTGCCATTCTCCTGTTGGGCATCAAAAAAGCCTTTGACTGTGTCTGGAACATCGGCCTCCTTTTTAAAACTAAAACTTCTTAATGTGCCTGATAGTCTTATGTTTCTAATCAAAAACTTCCTTCAAAACGGAAAATAAACAACCACACATCACCAAGTTTCATAGCAAATCAAGGTGTACCGCAAGGGTCGCCACTCTATCTGCTCCTATACAACATATATTGCTTTGATTTTCTCTCAGGTCAGTTACACCTCAATGCAATAAGTTACAGCCGCCAATACGCAGATGACACGGCCCTGATATCGCATGGAAATACACTGAATCAAACTGTCACAGCACTACAAAATCAATATAACGAATTTGCTCAATGGCTCAACAAATGGAGATTATAAGTTAACCCACAAAAATGTCAATTAATGATACCCTATCATGACCTAAGACCGACATCACCTACATTCATCAAATCTAACCAACCAATCCATCCCGTATCCTCTGAAATACCTAGGCGTTATTATTGATAATAAGCTGAACTTCAATGAACACACCCGCAGATAAAAAAAAACATAATTAAAGCCAAAGCCAAACATTTCCGTTCCTTAACATACAAAAAAGAAGGTATCAACACCTACACGGCTACAAAAATCTACAAAACAATATGCAGACCACTCTTGGAATTCGGACACACTATCTATTTAAATTGCCGAAAACCTGCATTTAAAAACATTCAAGTGGCCGAATCTTCCACACTAAGAATCATTACCAAGATGCGACATCCAGAAAACCCCATACACCATCCAGCGAATGTATATCTCTAAAAAACTAAAGTATCTTAATATTCCTAATCATCTTACACATATAGCGTGTAAATCCTCACACATACCATACAAATTGTACTGGCTGAAGGACCTAGGTCGATGGCCATTTGGTTGTAAAATTTATAACCAATAAAGTGCTTTTATTATTATTGTTGCTGTTTTGCTGTTCCTATCATCAGATCAATTTTGCTTCTCTGAATCTAATAATTCATTGTCATTTCTCCAGCTTCTTATTAGCGCTTCAACCAACCATTATTTTTAATTACCAACTGGTGTCATATTTGGTTCTTTTATAACTAATAAATTGTTCTCTAATTTATTTTACAGTGCCTAGAGAATATAGAAAGTGGTACACCATACAATCCAAATTCAATACCAAAATCAATACTGAACAACAACCACCTATCCGATTTGAACTTGAGCAATAATGATGATGATAATAATGTACCTGCACCTAGTGTTAATGGTTCGAACCTTCAGCTGATCGAAGATCGAAGGGCCCCGGAAGGTAAAGACAACGATTCTATCGAAGAAGTGGGCAGTATAAAAGAGAATTCGTATACCACTGATGTTAATGGCAAAGGTAAGCTTATACAGTGCTTTTATTTCAAAACCAGCTAGTCGAAATAACTCTTGATTTTAAGTGAATTTATGAAAAATAAGAAAAGTAACTTTTGTTGGCAAGGGGACTAATTATATTATTGTCGTATTAAGTTAATACCCAGAAATCTAACCTCCTGGAGACCGGCAGCAATAGCAAGTATTTCATTACTTTTGAGTGACCTCTAGCGGGATAAAAAACTGTTACGTATGGCAAAATGTGACACCTAATTTGAAGTTAATTTTATTAGTGGTAAAAAGTAATCTCTGTTACAATTTGCAAGAGAGAGTGGGACGATCTCGCCGAAATTGTGAAACTCGTAATTATTTATTATATTTTTGAGTTCTACTTTATATAATTGACGTTATGTCAGTTTTACGTTTAATTTTTGAAATTGTAACAATTTATTTTAACCTGGGTGGATTATTTCAGTGGTTAGAGTCCTGACTTTTATATCGAAGGTTTTCAGGTTCGAATCCGAAAAATTAACTCATGTATATTTTCAGTTACCGTCCATGTTGTGGTCACTATCAATGGCAACGGCACCTTGGCCGATTTGAAAAAGCAACGGATGCAAATCCGAAACAACAGCAATGACACCAACGAATTCAATTTAGCGTCACCCATAGGAAGTATCGCAGAAACAGAAATAAGTTCCGATCAACCTTCCACCGATATTCTTAGGCTGACAGGTGACACTATGGATGAAAACATAGAGTACTCAAAGCCAAGGCGTTGTTGTAATTTAATGTGAGATAGGTATTTTAATATTTTTTTCTAGAAGTATTTTAATATTGTAAAACGGCTCCAAAAATTGAGGCGGTATTTGGAAGCGTTCGTTTTTGCCTCCCATTTCTACCATTGATATTTTGTTGAGTTGAAACTTAATTAATTTCAGTGATGAAAATTATTAATATTTTATTATCACTCAACTAGGTTAACATACATATTTGACGAACATTTTCCCAGTTAATGAATAATATGCACCTGGTCATGAATTAACCCATCATAAAAATACATTTTAAATTACTCAATTCTAAATATATTTTTAAGATATTAAATTGTATTACTCGTAAGTATTTTTAATTAAAATAATACTATTGTACCTGAAAACGGCTTTCGATGTCCAGAACTATGTTCGTTTTTTAAAAAAGAAAGTTGATGATAAATTTTACACCTAAATATACCCAGGAATACGTGCATAAGAATATAAATTAAAATGTCTCAGTTTTGTCATCTTTACACATTGTTTGTTTTTTTAACTAAATTTTTGGGCCATATGATGTGATATAATGATTAGTGAAACAATATTTACGAAAACTAAATGATTGTTATATCATGTGAAAATAACGATTTGATTAAATTATCTCATTAAAAAAAATTACCATTTTTTTTCATCTTTTCGAATTTGGAAAATGTAAGACCATTGAACGATTGAGCCCGTTCACTTTTATTTTTGAACTTGAACTAATCATATATAAAGATATTTAACTTTTTTGTCTTTTAGTACGTTTCTCATTAACATATTTTAGCTAGAAGTAAGGGAATTTCTTTAGTAACTCATTGTATCAGAAATAGTATATTACATTAAGAGTGTGGAAAGTGACATTTTTCACACGAGTGGGAAAATCACTTTTCACACAAGTGATGTACAATATTTTTCCTACGACCACAAAATAATTTCATCAAAAAATGTAAAACCAGGTTATTATAATAATTCAACTGTATTTAAAAAAATAATCAACAATAATTGTATTTATCCAATATTCATATTTTTCGAAACAAAAATAAAAAAACAAAAAAAATTCTGCAACCACCAAGTTTTGAACGCGGGCCCGCGGACCCGTCGTGTAAGCCAAAGTTCAAATTGCACTTACCCTACAACCTGAGCTAATGGGTCTTATGTCAAATGCATTTTTAATTCGTTTTTAAGTTTAAACAGAATAAAAAGCCAAAATAATGAGATGTATGTAGTTATTATAAAATTATTTTAATAATTGTTAAAAATAAATATCTTGGATCTAAGTTTAAACATCAATTTTAATAATTTATTCATCATATCGATTTTACTATTAATATGGACATTACATAAATCAAAATAGAAATGATGCGTTTGACATTATGTGACAGCTGATGCGGAAATGTAAAACGAGGTTTAAATTATAATAAATAAAATGAATTTAAAAAACAATCAATAATAATCGTATTTATTCAATTTTCATATTTTATAAACAAAAAACAAAAAAACAAAAAAAATTCTGCCCCCGCAAGGATTTGAACGCGGTCGCTCCCCAGGTCTCAAATGGCAAAGTTGATCAAGTTTGATACTCTGAGCTAATAGGCCTTGCGTCAATTGAATGATCTAATCGGTTATGTGTTTAACCAGAATAAAAAGCAAACATAACTTAGTTATTTTAAAATTATTTTAATAATAATTGTTAAAGATAAATATCTAGGATCTAATTTGCAACAATTTCAATAATTTAACAATCATATCGATTTTAGTATTAATATGGACATTACATAAATCAAAATAGAAATGATGCTTTTGACATTTTGTGACAGCTGATACGGAAAGTAGCATATTCGCACACGGTTGGAAAGTAAATTCTTATTCATACGCGTGTGATATAGGGCATTTTCGATAGGATTATATAGTGTGATATGTGTCACTTTCCTAAGTGGTCGTAGGAAAATATTATTATTACTCAAACTGAATATTACCAGACCGTAATTTTCTTTGTCAAATAATGTCTTTAGTAAACTTGGCAATGTATGTATGTTTGAATTCTTAGTGTCGTAGTTTCTTAGCTCTTTTGGTGGACCAGTTTAGGCATATGCCATGCTTACGTTTATTTATGTGTCTCCTAAACGAGCTGAGAGGTTAATTAAAGGTATATGGTAGACTTTCTCAATAAAACAGAATTACTGATTAAAATTATATATTTACAAAAGACAATATAACAAAAAGACAATCTTCATTGCATGAATAAAAAAAAAGGAAACCTTTAATGGGGACTCACCGGGGTTACATTATGGGAGGTGATGGTACTGATATGACACTCCAAAAACAAGTGATTTTTTATTTCTATTATATTTATAATAAAAGTTTGGATTCGTGTACTTTTGCTTGTTCAAGTTCAACCATGTTTACTGCTGGATTTGCAAGGTCAACAAATTTCCGTAAAAGTATTGATTAAGAAACCTGAATTTATACTTCCTCTTTATAAATGTTATGTTTAAATAAACCAAACTGGATTGCGAATAATGAAAATAATAATTTAATTTTATGAGATACTTATTTTTTACTAAATAAGTACATACACCCTAAATTTATTAAAAAAAAAAATACAAGACACGACTTTATTATCATTATAAATATATGATTAATACAAGTTCAAAAATTAATGTATTGTACTATAAAATAAAAGTAAACATTTTTACCAGTTATTAGAGTTTTAGCCTATCAACACTGTAGAGTTTTAAATTGTTTAAAGCAGCTTTACAGAGCAAGAGAAATTGCTGTCTGTAATTTATTGTAGAAAGTTCACCAAATTAAGTCAGTAAAAAGGTACACTAATTTATTTATGGAAACAGGTTGGCCAATATAAAGTGATAGAAATATCCCAAGTCCTCTGACAAAAGAGTATCGCATTTTTAGTTACACGTGTCTTCTTCTTATTTCAGTTGTGCTTTGTTGGAAACTTTATAAAGGTGCGTTTACACGAATTCAAGAAGTCACTTTGAAAAAATTAAGATTGCGTTTTACATTTTTGTCTGCAAATACTAGAACAATTTACTTTCATACTTTATAAATAAATTTCCCTGCTGAACATTGGTTTTTAGAGTTTTTAAAGAAAATCCAAAACAGGTGAAAATTCGTAGAAGAGAATCTTTGTTAAAAAAATGTATTATAACGAAAGGCACAGAAAATATTTATTGGATAACTCATATAAATTTTTTTATTCAATATCATTTTCTTCACAACTGGAGTGAGTTTACAGGAAAGTGATTTAAAGTATCAATTTCTTTAAAAAATAACCATGAACATTTTTTTAAAGTATTTTTATCGCATACATTGTATTTTGAGTTATTAATTATTATTCTACATGCAGCACTTCTAAATTTTCAAAAACAGACTTCGATGTTGACGTTTTGGTGTTTGGTTCCTTTTCGACTTAAATAAAAAAGCAAGTTGGTTCCTTTTAAAAAAAAAAAGAAGTTTTCTGTTCTACTTTTTTTTATTAAAATTAACAAATTTTTATAGAAATTTAAAAGCAAATACACTCTCAATCTGAATCATTCATCGGCGTCTTCGATCTGGAAGTCAGTTTCCTCGCCAAAGTCATCAATATTGTCTTCGAAATTTTTGTGATCCAGGTTTTTATAAAAATACTGAACATCTTTGGGAATTAGAGGCATAAAGCTTTTGATATCGGCGAATTTCATTTCGAAAATGGGTTTCCCATCTTGATAAAGAACAGATAGATTGGATGCAAACTTAGGCTGCGAGTGTCTTCCTCTGGTAGATTTTTTTTAAGTCTACTTCTTGATTATCTTCTCCGTTATGTGTTGTCTTAAAATATATTGAGAATGGCTTATCTTTAGTTATTTTAACTAGCCTGCCTTTAACCAGCTTACTTTTTTCCATTAACATCAGTTTTTCCATTAGTAATCATTTTTTCAATCTGTTTAATGCATAAAAACTCTTCTTTTTCCATCTCATGAACTATAAATTTACGTCTTTTTGAGTAGTTCACCATGACATCTTTAAACTCTTGGTTTGTGTAGAATCTAATTTGGCGTTTTAGTGTTCTCTTGATCTCTCCAAAATTTGAATCGTTTGGCAAATAGCTATGGCCAGTCATAAGGTATTTTAAATATATACATTTTAATGAAATGTGTTCTTCTAAAATGGTTTTTAAAATCAGAACAATTTTTATGTTCCGATTCTATCTCCCACATGAACCAGACCATAAAATCAGATCTTCTGTTTCGGGCGTAACATATTTCTTAATCATCACATTTAAGCACGACCCAACCTCTTGGGCCTACCTGCTGTATTTTCTTTCCATACAAAACAATATGGTTGTCTATCTGAACCTTTGTAAATTCCTTCGTTGTATATAGAAAGCTGCCTTTTGTAGTAGACTATATTGGTCGGAATTTTTGGAAGTCCCAATACTTTTTTCCATGTCGTAAGTTAATTTATTATTTTCAGTTGCTAGTAACAAATCTTGTTTCATTGCGTTTCTTGCTTCTTCTGCTATTTTTAAATGTTGATTATGTTACGAATTTGTTTCTGCTAGTAACCGTTTGACAACTTTTAATTTTTGCTTGAAACTTATCACAAATATTACAGGTGTCCTTAACTTTAGGGTTTTGATCTTCTAAATAGAGGGAGTGCATTTTACTTAGAGTTAAATTAGTGGGTAAAAAGGAAGAAATGCGGCTAATTATTTTGTTTTTAGTTTCATCCGGTAGTGCTTTATTTAAATTTTCGATGTTTCCTTGTGCATCTTTTATAATAGTAGACTTAAATTTCTGTACTGCCGTATCAACACGTTTGGTGGATATTTGAAAAGTATGTATGAACATATTCCTGCAACTTATAATGTTGTTTAAAGTATAGACTCGCGTAAATTGTTTGATCTCGCTCGATTTATTTCTTTTTCTCTTAATACCTTGCTGTTTCACTGAAGCAGCTTTTGTTTTACTTTGTCTTACTTTTTTAGACATTATTTTCACATATAT